TGATATTTGCTTATGGCCCATCCCACTAATTCACCGGGTAACCTTCACCGGGTAACCTTCACCTACCCTAAAACTAATTTCGAGAAACAACAAAATTTTTTAGGACCCATCTCATAATCATTTCGTTTTTTGTTTTTGATTTTTGAGTTTTAGTTTTTAAAGAAGAAAGGGTTGTTTGATAACTAATTCAACTTTTTTTTTCTCATATTTATCTCTAAATTTTTTTTATTTCTAAATTTCTCTTTACAAACTTTATTTTTCTCTCTAAAAATTTCATATTTTGAATATTTATTGTTATTTGTCCCTCTCCAAAATTTTTATGTATTTTGTTTTCTAACACACCAGTTTCATTCCTCTCCGTAAAAATTTAATATTTTTCATAACTTTTTTCTCTCTAAAATTTCATATTTTATAATTTTCTTTTTCTTCGTCATCTATTTTTTCCTCTAAAAATTATATTTTATTTTCTTGTTCAATTTTTTTCACCGTAACTTTTATATATTTTCGTATTTATTTATTTTCTATAAAAATTATATTTTGAATCTTGTTTTTATCTCTTAATTTGTTTCCACCATAATTTTTCTCTTTCTTTATAATTTCTTTTTTCTTTAACATATATATTTCTTCTGTCTTTAACTTTTCTTTCACTATTTTTTTTCTAAATATTTTTATTTATCCGTCTAAAATTTATCTTCCAAAAGTTTATTTGCATCTTTTTTTTATGTTTCTAATTAGGGGAAGACAAGAATTTCCATAGGGTTAGGTCCCAAAAATAGAAAATGCATGTCCGAACCCCGTCCCCGTCCCCGATTCCATTTTTTAAATAATTAATATATATTTATTACACTTTTTTTATACTTGAATTCTAAAAATAATTAAAAACAATTATAAAACCAATAATTTTTCTCGAGAACATCTCTCGAACCCAAGAACGAGGTGAGGACGGAGACTAAACTAAAAATTGTTATCAAACATATATGGTTTTTGTTTTTTAAAAACAGAAAACCAAAAACCAAAAACTAAAAACAATAAAAACCAAAAACTAAAATGGTTATCAAACGGACCCTTAGTATCAGATTTTTAACTTATAGGCTTTATGTTAAGGATCCCACGTTGAAAAGAAAAGGACTTTGCGTAGGTTTATAAAAAACATGAACTATTCATCTTATTGTCAATTGGTTTTGAGATGGACACATGAATATTAATATGGTATAAGAGTCCAAAACGCTCAAACGAGCATCTAATCCAAAAATGGAATCGATTAACCAAAAGAGCCACGATCTCGAGACACCTAGACGACGGCGGAGGCAAAGGAATACAGAGATGGTTGGAGACGGAAAACAGAGGAAGCAGTGAGTTGTACTCATCCCTTGAAATTATAATAAACATGACTACTCCTCGTTTATAATTTTGAAATAAAACCTCATGAATATTAATATTGTATACATAACCTTGGAGAGTGTCTTTAGACATTCCGAACCCTTACCACTAGGACTATCCTTGAGAGTTGGACAACTTTTCTTTAATTAAATTCGATTCTATGCATTGTACTTTTTTTGTTCTTAGTGGTAACTATGTGAGATATCCATCACATCATATTATTATTTATGGGTCCAAATTGTTTATCTTGTTATCACATTCTACTATTGAATTGAGAGTTCTAGAAATTTTGCACATCTCATCTTGTGATAAAAAGGGCATGATTTTGTGATCTTTACATGTCTCTTTTAGTGGAAATATTTTATAGTTCTAAAACTCTTTTTCTTTTTTTTTTTTGTTCTTTTTCAAATTAGTAATCATTAATGGAGAAACTATTGAAAATGAAGAGTCACTTTCATAACTATTAGGTGCATAGTTAAAAATAATACTTTTCAAAATTTTCTTTCATGTATTGTATCCAATGGGTATAGAAGAAGAATTCAAATTGAGAAGATTCTTAAAATTCAATTAGAAATCAAATTTGGCTCCAATCAACTTCTAGCCACTAAATTTTTACCTCATAAGCAACAATTTTCTTTTTTAAACTAATTATGTTTGTCAACAATAAAAATTTAACAACTTTTTAATTTTTAATAAAACAAAAAAAAAATTGTATTATTTTTCTGCATACTTGTCAAAATTTTATGATATTGACCAATAAACATCTAAATATTTTCTTTCAAATATGAATATGATGTATAACTATAACTAACTTATTTAATTTCAAAGTATGAATTTTGTTTTATATTTCCTCTACTATTTCTATAGACAATTTCCTTGTATTTTAAAATTTAAAAAATAATAACAAATTTAATGTTCTAATCTCGTCTTGAACTTATTTCAAAATTAGAACGACAAATTCACGATCAACCACCTCCAACTTTTTCAGTCGATAATATATACTTTAACTAGTTGAGCTATGTTCATATTGACAAAATTTAAGGCGTATGAATTAAACAAGTGGGAAATTTTTTGTCATATTCATGAGAAAAAATATATGGAAATGTGGCCCCAAACAAACATACATCTTTGTATCTAATCCACCAAGAATGGATAAAAAGAAAAGGGAACATATTGTTCTTCTCTCTCTCTATTCTCTCTTTCTCTCTCTAAAAAATGCTTTTGCAAACTTTATGTGAGTGAGTATTGGAAGGTAGGAAAAGCATCTAGGAAAGGTTGGAAGAGTTAAAATATTATGAGCCATCCAAAGTGAGTGGAAGTGATTATTCACCACTTTATGCTACAAACTATTGAAACAAGTCATGTGAATTCATCAACACCCTTCAACATGAAAACTATAAATATAAATCAAAAAGTTGAAAGATTTGGATTCCTTTGCATGATGGAGTGAGAGTTGCTTGAAAGAGAAGTTTAACCATATTTGGTTTCTCTTCTTTCTTTATATTCTTTCTGGATATTAGTTTCTATCTCTTCACTACAATACGATTAGATTAGAAGCTGGCATTAACAATGGTGAATATACCACAAATTATGTATTTTTATTGAAGTGTTTGAGGCAGCATGAATTACGTATCTTTGTTGAAGTATTCGAATTAGCTTATGAGATTTAAAATCTAGAATGTTCTAATATATGGGTTTTAAGAAAGTATGTTTTTTTTTTTTTTTTTTTTTATGATTTAGTTATATTAATTCTATGAAAAAAGTAAATTCATGTCATAAAAGCACTTTTTTTCTTTTCCCTTACAAGTTGCAACTTTTCTACATAATTTTATCTTTGTACTTTGAGACGCTCTATCGTGATATCGGTGGAATCACCTTTTATCTTGTAATAACAAATTATGTAATTAGAAACCTCTCCATTTCAATATTTCTAAATTGCCCAATTCGAGAAAATTAAAATAAAACTAAACTTTCATTACCCATTTGATGACTATTGTAATTTTAGCTTGAAAACATCTTTTAAGTTGACTAAAAAAGTGTATATATATATATATATATATATATTAGCAAATAAGCTTAGTTTTAAGAAACAGAAAACTAAAAACAAAATCACAATAAACCGACACGTTCCTCAATGTAGAGGCTGAGGCCTACCCTTCACCCCCTTTGTCCCCCGACCTATTCCGAAAAGAGAAGGAAAAGTAAAAAGAGAAAAAATAAAAGCTTAAATACTAGTTTGATCTCATGTATTTTCAAAATATCTATTTTGGTCCCTAAAAAACATTCATTTTGATCCCATTACTTTATTTTGTTCCATTAACATCTCATTTAGTTCAATCATAGTTTAACCATAAATTTGTATTAAAGAATTTATGTTGCATATAAAATTTGTGTTAAAATTTTACAAATATAGACCAAAATGTACACTTTTTAAAAGTACAGTAACAAGTATACAGACTAAATTAATCAGAAGTTGAAGTAGAACATTTTGAAAATACCGAGACCAAAATAATCCATAGCCAAAAGTCCAGGACCAAAATAGTATTTAAAACAAAAAAATTAAATTTAAATGTAAAAAATTAAATTAAATCAAATTTTCAAAGGGAGAGAGATGAGAAAGCCAATCCTTATTGATCTACCTGTCTACTTCATCTAATTTGATGGACTTTGTAGATGCCACCAACCAACCAATGAAGCCTAAAGAAATGTACCTAACATTATGCAATAAACACATTGACATTATTTCTAATCATTTCATGTTGCATCATACTCTGAAAAAACATGTAAACAATAATTAAATAATGAACAGAAAAACAATATATTCCCACTTCAATTCAAGATTCAACTCCACTATTTTAGTATTTCTCTTTTGTATTTTAAAAAGCCCTGAAGTGGATGGCCATCATTATGTGCTAAGTGACCAAAAAAGGGAACAAAGAGATTAGAAAATGGGAACCATTCCTTTAATAATTCAACACCATTGAGAACACCATTGAGAAACCAAGTTTATTTGTCCGTTGCTCATGACATGAATCGCCATACATTTTTTTACTTCAGATAGTGTACAATTCTAACCATGAAAGCCGAGGATGGACCTATGACAAACGTTTCTATTTTAGTCCTTGAACTCTCAGTGCTTATTTCATTTGGCCCCTAAGCTTCTAAACGTTATATTTTAGCCCATAAAATGGTTTTCTATGCAAATTTTAGGTAAAAAACAGGGCATTTGAAAACAGGGGATCAAGATAGAAAAGTTGAAAGTTTAGGGACCGAGACAGAATAAGTATGAAAGTTCGAGGACCAAAATAAGGCTAAAACCTTCTTAATTTAGTCCATGCCAGAATAATATCATAATTTACAGAGAGACGGCTGGTTAATATCATTTACAGTTTTCACAGAAAAAATGAAGTTAGTGCAGAGCAATTATGTTTAATTTACCTTCTGAAAGAAGCTTTCACCTGCAATCCGGGATGGCTGCAACATATAATTGGCTGGTGAGATTCTTGCACCACGTGACACATGCCTTCGAGAAGAAAATAATATGATGGCTTTGCAGATTTTTGTGTTCAGACATATAGGAGTGCTCATGAAGGTTAATAATAATGAGACCTTTAAGCTCATCAATGGCGGAAGGTCTTTACTACCAGCTCGATTCGTCGTCGACAGAGTGGACAGTTTGTCAAATGTGAACAACATGCTACACAGCAACACATATGGCCGCACCTGAAATCACAGCCAGTAGACCAGTTTGTTTTTGGATTAAATACTGAGATTATACGATGCTGAACTTCGATTAATTTTATTCAGGAATAAGGCACGCTAAAGGCGTAAAAGTTTCTTCAAGATGGGTGATAAGCCATGAGGAAAAACAACCAAATACGTTCTATGATAAGCATATGTATGGTCCACACTATAACAGTTCTTACATGCAACAATTCTAAGGGGATAATGCAGGTAAGGGGATTTTAGGACTAATAAAATTATAAACGACATAACAAAAAACACAAGGAGGGGGGAAAAATTATCATTTTTTGACAAAATGACATTAAAAGAGAGCCAAGGGAGGAAACATAAGATAAGTAAAAGATGCCCAATAAGAAAATTAGGATAGGAGAAAAGAAAATCTTTTTAAGTAAATATAAATCTAAAATATGAGAGAGAGAGAGGGGTATTCAATGAGGTAAATCTAGGCACTGATCTAGGGCGAGTTGATTAATTGATCCCAGTCGTGGAAAAGTGAAACCCAGTGTGCTTAGTCATGCTTTCTTAAAATAGTGAACCCAATCAAGAAAACAAGGTGTACGACTAGTGTCATTAAGAGTGGACTTCCACTCTCGTACTAAATCATCACAAACAAGCGAATAAAACATTGGGATGTATATGTATTATGATGCCATTTCCAAGTCCAATTATCAGCTGCCCAAAAGACAAGAAAACCAAACTTGTCTGTAATCTCTTCAAAGTTCTCCCATTCTCAGAATATATTAGTGTCTCCTAGGCCTATTCACCATTAATGTTGGAAATAAGTGAAGATATTAGACAATTTCACTGATTCTCTCATCTGTGAATAGAGACTTTTCAGGCATGTGAGAAACATTTGTGTATGTGTGCGCGCGTGTGTGCGTTTGGAGTGGAGTGAATAGAGAGAGCTCTTACGGGACAAAAACAGCGTTGTAGTCTCTCTCAAGACATATTACACAAAGGTCTGGCATTGACCGGTCTCTCTTCGTACTATCTGATCCATTGTTGGTCTTTTCATTTTCCCCTGAAGCAATGTATTTTTAGTCTCATCCATGTGTATGTATAGTTCGAAAGGTAATATATCAAAATTTTGAAATTATACCTTCATTTTCTTGGCCTGATCTCTTGGCAGCTGCAGCTAGAACCCTGTACAATCGGAACAATTCTCAGCTAGCTTGCAGGAAAATAAAAAAACATGGGGATGGAAAAGAGACACAAAAGGTTGTCCATAAGGTTGGCTGCTATATTATAAGCATCTATGTTTATAGTTGGCTGTCTCTTAGAATGATACATATTAGAACTAGAAGTGCTTTCTTGATATAACAATTAATCACCTCTGTTTGCATTCAACATTCAGATGTCACATCTGAAAAAGGAAAAAAATAAAAGAACCTCAACCGGACACACCTTTTCTGCAATTCCCAGCGACGCCTTCTCTCCATGAGATAGAGAATAGCATGCTTTGTGATGAGATACAAGCCAAATATGCTCAAACCCATGGAAGCATACTTGTACCACCTGGTAAGTATCCATGCTATAACTTATAAGAGAGCATGGGAAACAAATGCCCAATGTATACATTATAAGCATATAAAGAGATAAAAAATTTCTATAGATAAATGTATATAGCCAACCTTGCCCACTTCCCAAGATTGCTTATGAGTTGATCAATTGTTTTCGGGGAGACATAAAATGGCCCCTTGTGTGGTCTCTGTATTCTGATGGTACCAATGTCATCTTTGGCAGCCTTGTAAAGATCAAACAGAAGTTTCGTAAGTATTTCAGAAGAAAATCATGGTTATACCTTTTAGTGCCGTGTCTAAACATGCATATTTTATTACACTCTGCATTCCACAGTTTAAATTAATTCTTTTATTTCTTTACATTTATATTTTGGTCGGGCTGAACAATCGGAAGCAAAAATGTATATATTAAAAAATGTAGCATGAGCGTGGCATATATTTAATGTAACTCTGACTATATTAATAGAGCTGAAGATGGTTGCTGCATGGTGTAACAAAAACTAGAGCCATAAATAGTGTTGTCAGAAAAACATAACGTGAATTTTAAATCCTCTATTAGATCCTATTGTTTCAAGTGATCTCACTTTTTTTTAGTTTTTCATTAAGAGGAAAAGAGAAAACAATCAATGAATGTTTTCTCTTCTGGGCTTTTTCTTACAGATGGTAACAATACCTGCCCTCCCACCCACTCCCACCTCCAATATTTTCTCCTGAGCAAAAAGTTAGAGTGTACTCGGTTCAAAACACAACCATGGAAATAACTGCAAAATCTGTCCTCTTTTTTTTTTTTTTTTGAATATCCGTGTGTCCGGACCAACTTGCACGCATTTTAACTAATCACGGGCCAACCGCTTGACCATACTACATTTGGTTGACAAGGTAACTCGTAGGATATTAAATCTTAGGTAGGTGACCACTATGGTTTGAACTCATTCCCTCTCAGCCCTTTGCTATTTACATTGGCCCTTATTGACCACTAGACCATCCCATGATGGTTTACTGCAAAATCCGTCATGAGACTCTACTTCCAGATAATCGTTTCCATCAGCCTTATCTCTCAGTTTTCTTATAATATTTTCTATATTTGAATTTCCTTCAAAATTATATTTCACTCAATAATGACCTTATCTTTATACATGGTACAAATATTAGTGACAGTCTTTCTTTAATTGATCAGGTTCTTATTATTTACTCGTTTCCAGAATCAGAAGATTTTCTTCCCTCCTTGGTTCTGTTCTACATTGTCATGTTGCAAACTACCAAATCGCTACTGCAACATCTAACCACTGTTCATGAAAGGAACGTTCCTTGGGAGAATTCCAGATGGTCCTTTGCAGATGCTTGTGTTTAGTTACCAGCCTATTAATCGTCTGGTTGCTTACACTGCTGTCTGCACACTTCTATTAGACAGTGCTCTGCTCTATATAAGTTGATTGGAAACCTAGCCTTCTCATTCCATTTTGAGCATGAGTACATTGGGTGAATGAACAAAATAACTCCAGAGAAGATTTATTTATAGCATTAAATGGGGCTCGAGCATAAAACATCACCAAGATGAAGAGAGGTCGACAAACAAATTTGATGAAGCCTATACGACACATGCTTAAAAAGAGGAAGTCTTTCTTCAGATGATCTATGATTGCGATTTTTTGTTACCATATTTTCTTTTTTAAAAGGAAACATAAATATTTTGTTCCTAACTTGCTATATTAAATTGCTTCATTCGGGCATGGCCTTATAGAGTAGTTGTGACCCAAACAATACTGGAAAACACCTTGCATTTTATTGTCTCTCTCCCTCACTTGCCATAATCCAAACCACGAAATCCCATTTACTAGTTCTTACAAAGTGTAAAAACATCTATTTACCAGCTCTCTCTAGTTTCTACTCAATCACTAATTGGTTTATTGCAGGAAAAATCCTGCAAGTTGCTGGTTGAATAACATTTTATTGTTTTCCACATAAAGATCTTTAATGTAGGTGAAGCCAATAAGTCTTGGACTAATAGAATGATATGTAATTGAGCCATCAAGATAATATGAGTCAACATTGCATACCTCACCAACGACAGTCAAGGAAGTACCAGTAGGTAGCACGCGTTCTATTCGCTTCACTCCAAGCATCTTAGAAGAGAATAATTATAAAATCAGTTCAATGAGACTATTGCAAGCACATTATACTAAATGCAACATCTACTGAACAAAACAAACCTTAAGTCCTTGGAGATAATCTAATGTGCCACGCATAAGGGATCTGCCAGACTCTTCAAATACCTCACTCACTACTGGTAATATAAAATTTGTGGCACTTCGGGCCCCCACCACAAATGCACGACCAGTCCCATCATCCTGATAAAAAGAAAAAATGGTAACTTTATGGGTTCACGCCAATCATCATATTTGAAGGGGTAAAATACACGTTTGGTCCATGAGTTTTGGAGTTGGTGTTTATTTGGTCCCTAAAGTTTCAAAAGGGTCATCTTAGTCCCTCATGTTTGAAAAATAGTTCTAAATGGTCCATAAACTTCTTTGACCACTAGTTGACCTGTATAAAAGATTATGTGGCACTAAATGACTGGACTCGATTCATGTAACATTTTTTTAATGAGCAGGCTAAAAAATAATGATTTTATATTTTTTTTGGTTGGTGTGGGATTATCTTTCTTTTCCCCCACCTCTTTCTCTCCTTCCTTTCTCCTCTCTCTTTCTCTTTCTCATTCTCATCCTATGACAAGACTTGTTGCTGTCACCAACGTTCCTACCCAACCCAGCGAACCCAACCCCCCTCGTCGCTGCCCAAGGAGGATTGAGCCTCTAACGAGGAACTTCCTCCTTTTCAGTTCCTTGTTTTAGATCTATAGTAGGAACGACTTGACCCTCGTTCAAATCTGGATGGGGAACCTCCTTGTTCCAAGGAACAATCCTCCTTACAGATTTGGAACGAAAAGCTCCTCTTTACCGATTTGAACGAGCCTCATGGAACATGCCATATATGGGATGGATGGGCAAGGGCCTTTGCAGTGACAATGAAGATGGTGGCTGGGCAGCGATGATGGCAGCATGGCAAAAGCGGGGGTGACGAGTCCAGTCGGAGGATGAGGAAGAAAGAACAGAAGCGAGAGGAGGGGAAGAAGAGAGATAATGCCACCAACAACCAATATATGTGAGTGTGTGTGTGTGTAAAGGCATTATCTTTAGCCAACTCATTAAAAATTTGTCACATCAATCGAGTCCAGCCAATCAGTTCCTGCCAAATCATCTTTTCTAACAGTCAAAGAAATATAAGGACTATTTAGAACCATTTCTCAAATCTCAAAGACTAAAGTGTCCCTTTTAAAACTTTAGGGACTAGAGACATTAAGCCTAACTTCATGGACAAAAAGTGTATTTTACCCTGTATGAAGAATGAACTCAATCTATCCACCCTGCCCACATAGGTTGATCAACATAACTATTTGTTTTTTATAACCGGGAGTTGGAGCTTTGCTCCCCTATACTCATGGGCACCCGCACCCACCCCAAGGTCTGGACTTGGGAGACATCAGGGGTGTAACAGAAATATTATATCTCTCACCAGATACCAAGGAACTTCTTTACTCATGGATAGCATCAGTGCAGAATCCTGAATCCATGATCCTGCATCATTGTGCTTCAGGAAATGCTGCTCTGCCTAAAGAAAAACAAGCACTAAGTTGTGTTCAATTCATGTTGAATGTACTCTAGCAAAGAAAATAACATCCATTACCGTTTCCTCCACAATTACACCCCGCAAACCACTAAACTCGCACTTTATTGGTGTATCAGAGCTAACTCTTCCAGAAATTGCAACAACCAGAGGTAATACACATTCAGTCTCAAGCAATTGAGCTGAAAAGCAAAGAAATGCTTCTAAAATAAATAACTTGAGGAAAAACATTCAGATATATAAAACAAGAAATGAAAATACCTTTAACAGCAAAACAGTAGATGACTAAATGACATTAAATGTTAAATGTACTAGGGAGCCAGCATCTGTGTTGCAACATAAAGTTTATTTATTTATTTATTTATTCAAAACTAGCTTTCAAAAGGTTGGAAGTACAAGAACCATTGTTCACAACTTCACACAAAGAAAGTGAAACCAAAAACTAGTATACACAAAAAAAAATACAAGATCGAGACTCAAATCTTCCAATAGAAACGACACATCACAACAGGTAAAGGCAAAAAAGTTTCCCTGGTGTCAATCCTCCAATGAGAAACAAGCTAAGCAAAGAATTTAATTTTGAGAGTTATTATTACTTCTCAAAAACATTACCCTGTCTTAGGGAACAAATGTGTTAAAACATGTTTCATAATTGTTTTATAAAAGTTGTTTTTTCTTCCTTTCACTTGGTTCTTTTTACAGCAACATGTTTTTCAAAACAATTGAAGTAAAAAGCATGTGGTTGCAAGTAGTGATGTCAAGTGAACGACAACCTTAACTACATGTAGCCTGAAAGCTCATTGTGATGCAAAATGGGACAAAGGAGTTGGTGAGTTCAAAAGAACCAACCTAAGTGGACGTGATTTACTTTCTTTTTCTTTTTATTATAATCAGGATACCAGGGTCTCACTATTTATATTATGCCCATGGTCCACTTAGAGGCTTAGCACTCCAAGGCCAACATTAGGAGACAGCAAGAGTTTTAAGTTACTAGGTTATTAACCTGGGGCTTGAACCTAGAATTAGCATTACCACCAAACATCCCAAACCCTAACCATCAAGACATTCATCGGGTTCTCATCATTTACTTGACAACAATACATATTTAAAATTATTAAAAAAACACACACGCACACTTCATGAATAAGGGTATACCAAGCCTAACATCTCAAAATTTATTTCACTGGCCATTATCCATATTCCATAAAGCATAAGCAAAAACGAAGAAACGAGGGAATTTTCAAACAGATGGTCTTGTGATGACTAAAATGAAAGATTAGGACGCCTGATTGAAATAATAACTTCTAGGGCAAACCTACTGACTTATAAGTTACAACATTTTGCACCATAAAATCAATCTCTCTCGAGCTCATTTTGGAAAACTGAAAGTGATGCTGATGCAAAGGATAACTATTAACCACATCTTTACTAAAACAACGAATTGCCTACCCAATTCCTTCAACTGATTGACCCGCGTGACAGATTTCAATAACTCCGCATCCCTGCAACACAATAAAACAACAAATAAGTAGTAGTCTTTGTGAACTTATAACTTGCGAATGAGTAATCCTGTCAATATGCAAACACAAAAAAGGCCAAAAATAAAACTAAAAACAATAACTGACCGGCCACTACTCCTTCCAAGAAGATAAAGAGCAGCTGCACTCAAACAGCAGCTAAGACCTCCCCACGGAAGCATCCTCAACCGCCACAAACAAAAACAAATTCCAATTTCAGATCCCGAATCCTCTACTCTTCATGATACGTAAAACCCACCAACGGAGCCACGGAAATCGTAGGGAGAAGCGGGATAAATGGTAGAAAAAATTGGGTAGTTGGGAGTTGGAACTCTGGATTGGATTGCAGAATGAACGAAATCTGGTAAGAAAAAATTGGAAGAAATGGGGGGAATCAGATGCTATGAGCGAAAGAGGGGCAAGGGAAGTGATGGGAACAATTGATCGTGTTGCTCAGCTCTGTAATAATCGCTTTATCTTGCGCACTCCATTGAAATCTGCGAAACATGTGGATGATGATGATTGATGAGAGCACTAGATTAACTACATGCAAATAATTAACAACGACTACACAATCGAGACTGGATAGCGTTTTTAGGCGTGGGTTTTTTTTCCCTCCCCCTTCTTGAATAGGGATATTGAAACTTTGGAGGAAAGAGATGTTCACGCTACATCATAATTGTCATATATCTTTAACACACGTAATGGTGAGTATAATAAAATTTTAAAATTCATATAAATCTTATAATTAAAAATGGATAATCAGAATGAAGATTTTTATTTTTATTTTTAAAAAATACTAAGTATGAAGATCGATATAGACATTGTTCTAACAAATGAAACTGACTATGTTACGTTAGTAAATGAATCTTCCCTAAAAACTAAAAAAATATTAAAGATAAACTTATTACCATTATAAAAAGAACAAAATAAATAAATAAAAATTCAATCACCTTTGAAATATTTTTAAATTATGTGAACAATTAGGTTGTTTTAAATTTAAATAGTGGCGTTTGCAAGGATGAGCGAGACGTTGTTTGATCCATTGGGCCTTGGCCGACCACACAACCCATTAGAGGGCACGTTCAGGCCCATAAGCTCTAAAACCCTCGCAGAACAATGTCTCTCTAAAACCCCAAAAAGTTTCCGCCCAGCAGAATCAAGAAGCTTTGCTCTGTAGTTTCTTCTAGGGCTGCTTCCGATTCCGACGACCGATTTCAGTTCCATGGCTTCGGTTGCTCTCCGACACACCACCTCCAAGCGTCTCCATGCCCTCTCGTCTCCACTTTCATGGTGTTGCAGAGGATCCGCTTCCTCCCATTCCTCCATCTCCGAATTAATTTCCAGAGACGATGCAACTTCGAGTCCCGTTCCTTGGTGGAGATCCATGGCCACCTTCACTCGCACGTAAGTAATTTCTAGTTTTGAAGTTGCCCAGGTTGTATATGCGAGTGCTGGATCGTGGGGTATTAGGGGAGAGAAGAGAGAATTTGTGTTTTAGTTTATGGCGTTGTTTTCATATTTCTCTGTAGTTGTTGATGATATGCCTGTACTTTTTTGCTCTGCTCGACAGAAAGCCTCACGTGAATGTGGGGACAATTGGGCATGTTGACCATGGAAAGACTACACTGACTGCAGCCATTACGAAGGTTGGATTACTGATGCTTTTTGTTGCTCGACCTGACTGCTAGTGTATCTTTGGTTGACTTGATATAATTATTGCGTTGCAAATAAAACTATATTTTATAGAAGGATTGATGTATTGCTGTTTGCAAATTACATGTAAATGTCGGATACTTAATGCCTGAAATTATTGTTTGAATTTCAATTTACTCTAGGTTTTGGCCGAGGAAGGCAAAGCTAAGGCTGTGGCATTTGATGAAATTGATAAAGCCCCAGAAGAGAAAAAGAGAGGAATCACCATTGCAACGGTTGGAGGCCAATTTTTTATTTGACAGCCACTGACACTATTTTTACGGAGAAGTATGTAGTTTCCATTTTCTGCCATTGATGATAATTCTAATTCTGCAGGCTCACGTAGAGTATGAGACTGCCAAGAGACATTATGCACATGTAGACTGTCCAGGACATGCTGATTATGTTAAAGTAAGCTATGTATTGATATTTTTTTAATTTAAAGTAGAGCACACTAATTTATTATTCAGTTCTACCCGTGATTGGGGGTTGATATAAATGTTATGAACAAGGAGTAGTGAGTAGTTAAGCATAAATAAGTGTAGGTCGAATTGACGAATGCCCTTTTCAACTAGAATGTGGGTACTTAAGGCAGATCCAAGATGAATGCCATTTATTGGCTGACAAGTTATACTATTATCTTTATTATCTTGGGAAGATGATGTTTCGGAACTCTTGTTACAGAAATACAAGTTAGTGTTCTTATCTTGTCGTAACTTCCACGGCACAACATTTACAACAATTGGTTGCGCTTTTTCTAATTGTTTGAGCTTTTAAAGAACAATTAGTGAAAGATGGTGTTAATTTGTGTAGAACATGATTACTGGTGCTGCTCAAATGGATGGTGGTATTCTTGTTGTGTCTGGCCCTGATGGTGCCATGCCTCAGACCAAGGAACATATTCTACTAGCACGTCAGGTGTGCATTGGTTTGTTGTAGCATATATGTTTTCTGCAGCTTTTAGCCTTGTTTCTATCTGCTTTCGGGATACAATGCTGATGCACAATAGATTTGTTGTATTGCATCAATCAGGTTGGTGTTCCATCACTTGTGTGCTTTTTGAATAAAGTTGACGCTGTTGACGACCCTGAATTGTTGGACCTTGTGGAAATGGAGCTTCGTGGTATGACTGGATGCAGTTGTATTTTGGGTGCAACTACTGTTACTAGGATGTCAATAATATTGGAAACCTTTTCAATAGTGGTTTATTTTTATGGCAGAACTTCTTAACTTCTACAAGTTCCCTGGTGATGACATTCCCATCATTAGAGGTTCTGCTTTATCGGCATTACAGGGTACAAATGAAGAAATTGGTAAAAAGGCTATTCTAAAGTTGATGGATGCTGTCGATGAGTACATTCCTGACCCTGTTCGCCAGCTTGACAAGCCTTTCCTGATGCCAATTGAAGATGTTTTCTCTATTCAGGTATGGAGAATGTGCAATGGGTACTATATCACATTACATTTGTAGGGAATGCCTCATTCTGTAAATTTTATTTATTATTTATTTGTAAGAGCCTACAGGAATTCTCATCGTGTTCTACTTTTTTCTTCTAACTATTTGTCTATGAACATGCTCTTTAAAAAATAAATAATAGAAATTGGCAGTTGCTTAGAATAGGTTGCATATCATCAAGTTGGAACTTAGCCAGTTGAGTACTTGACATTTTTGGTGTAGGCATTACCATATGTACCTATGGTGCCCTTTTCATTGCGTTGCCTTCATTTTGTCTACAAGATAGTCTAATTTGCTTTACAAAATCAGTGTTTAGAATACTAATATGTTGAGTATGAGCTCACTTTACCTTGTAATTTCAATACCTTGTTAACGCTCTACTGAAATTATTTATGAAGAGTTATTCTTGATGTGAACTTGATTCTTTCTATTTATGTTGAAGGGTCGTGGAACTGTTGCTACTGGACGTGTTGAGCAGGGAACTATTAAAGTTGGTGAAGAAGTTGAAGTTCTAGGGTTAGCTCAGGTAAATCAATGTACCACATATATCCTCAAACTATGTTTTGTTTGGTGGGCATGGGCATGTACACCTTGTGCACTTCGGAGTCAGCAACTAGCTAGGGATGATTTTCACTTGTGGGCTGGGTATTGTGTATTAGCATTATGATATTTTTTCCTGAAAATTAAAGATTTGTTTGATTATACTTTCTTTGCGATGTCTTTTGAAGGGACCTCCTTTGAAAACTACTGTTACTGGTGTTGAGATGTTCAAGAAAATCTTGGATCAAGGACAGGTATTTGACTATTTTTTTCTATAACTCGTATTAATGTTTGTTTTTATAAAAAATATATATGAAAAGATAGCTCAAATTAAAATGAAGAATACAGAAGTGCAATAAAAAAGGAAAGTCCAGAGCCATAAAACAGAAGGTTACTTAAATACAAATAAGTATTGTATTGGGCCTCTTTTTGTGTTATGTTTTTTTTATACATGAAATTTAATTCAAAGAATGGAACAGCGACAGTGAAAGAACCACCAGTAGAACAAGGCAAAGGAGTTGGAAAATCCCTGTACTATTTTTGTCTAATGTTTTATTTATTTATTTTTTTTTAAATTTTATTAGGCTGGTGATAATGTGGGTCTCCTTCTCCGTGGTCTAAAAAGAGAAGACATTCAACGCGGGCAGGTACTTGGCATCACTCGTCCTGAAGTGAAAACTTCTGTCAAATTTGCATTTCTTGGAAAATATCAGTATCAGTGTTTTCAAGGCGCACCCGGGCGCTCGCCTCAGGCCAGGCGTTTTCGCCTAGGTGCGCCTTGCAAGGTGCCCAGGTGAGCACCTTCAATCGGGTGCTCGCCTTTGGGCGCCTTGGCGCCATCGCCATAAGCCAAGGCAAGCGCCTTTTTGAAGCGATGCGACCTTACCTTTTTTTTTTTGTTATAATGTTAAAAACTCATTTTGTTATAATGTTAAAAACCCACTAAAGAAACTCTAAAAAGATGAAAATCCACACCCAAAAATCGAAATACCCACACCCAAAAACCTTCCTCCTTCGTTGTCGCCGCCTTTGCCAAGTCACTGCACGATTATGAGGCCATCTCTCTTTCCTTCTCCTTCTTTGTAAGCAACCAAAAGATCTAGTCTCACTCACCTATGAACTGGTTGTGCTAAAAAATGAAGAAAAGAAGAGTAATAGATGAAGAAGAAGAAGAATCGGAAACGAAGTAGAAGAAGAATTAAAAAATAGAATAAAAGAGTTGGGTATTTAATGTTTCATGGAGTCTTTTCCTATTCCCTTTTAGGTTCTCAAGGCACTAATTGCATGCAATTATCTTGCCATCTGGCAGAAAAGGCAAGATGGGAATAAATTATTTTATTTAACTTAATTTGTGATTTAAATTTTATTTTATTTTAGTATTCTATTTATTTATCCTCTAATTTTATTATTTTCTTTTTAAATTTAAATTTTTTATTTTAAGTTAAAATTTATATGCACATTAAATAGTTTTACAAATATCTTCATCTAGAGTATTTTTTATACATAAAATTGCTATTTATTATTTTATTAAGTGCGCCTCACTTCACTCGGGCAACGCCTTTTTGTCGCCTCTCGGGCTTGTTGTCTTGAGGTGCGCCTTGTGCCTTGCGCCTTGAAAACACTGATCAATATAAATAATATTACGACAATAAGGTAGAAGGTTATTTCGTTCTGCCTTTAACACAATATCTTTCTTTTTATAAGACCTTTAACACAATATCATGCTCATTGTCTTATCATTAGGCATCAAACATTTTTTTTGGACAATATATGAGTAATTTCTGTTGGTTTAATTAGTAAATTGCATTGCAACTCATTGTAACACAATGGCAAAATCATAATTTAAACTTGCTAGCAAAACGATAAAATAGTGATGTGGACTAGTAACTTTTTTGAAAAAATAAAAGTATAAGAAAGCCCCCTACTTCAAGCTACAAAAATTACTAGATTACAAAGTCATAGGAGTCTCTATGATCATCATTGAAAATCATTATATTTCTGTTCTTTAACCTCGTAGGCTCACTGAATTATATTTTGAAGGTAATATCCTGCACTCTGGATATGAATGTTTGCGGTTGCTTCTTTATTTTATTTTTATATAGGTTATTGCAAAGCCTGGAAGTCTGAAAACTTCCAAGAAATTTGAGGCCGAGATATATGTCCTCACGAAAGAGGAAGGTGGCCGACACACTGCTTTTATGTCCAACTATAGACCTCAGTTTTATATGAGAACTGCAGATATCACTGGAAAGGTTGAATTACCTGAAAATGTTAAGATGGTTATGCCCGGTGACAACGTGACAGCAACTTTTGAATTAATTTCACCCGTTCCCCTGGAAGCAGGTGTGTCACATTTAAATTCCCTTGGGACATAAAAGCTAAAGCTAATAATTATTTTCTTTTATTTGTTTATATATTACCATGACGAAATATTTTCTGATGCATTGCTTAAAATTTGTGGCTGAGTTTAGTGCATTCCAAGTTTTGGTAAATGAGAAATGGCAGTCTAGTCTAATACATCCAAGGATAGAATTAGAAATACCTTGCTACCAGCCTCTGGACATGTATTCAACATGCTCAATGTTGACGCTTTTGGACAGTCCTAAGACGTCAATACTCGGTGGATAAAACAAAACAATTATTGGGTTCACTGGAAACAATAGGGCATTTATTGGACAAGACAATTGAAAAATACCACAGTGGTTGGAATAAAAATTAGTTTTGAAGTTTTGGATAGAAAAGCCTATGATTGTAATGATCATTCGTTTTATTTTTTTTATTATTATACTTTCCCATTATGATATCCCAATTTAGTATGTCATGCATATTAGTTTTCAGTTATGATAACATGTATGGTAATATTTGTATTTTTTGTGACTCTGTTACTGTATTACAATATATTAAATATATGGTAGTCTCTCTCTCGATTAAAAACAAGAATGCATTACTAAAAAAAGAATATTTACCTGATGAGATTGTTGCTCTACATCCCAACATGTATAAAGGTATGATAGAAAATATGAATGTACTAATAGAAGAAGAATAATTTCTAGATAGAGGATGAGAAATTCTCTTCCGGAAAATATAGGTAAAAGATTAGTAAGTTCCTTATGGTAGCATACATGAAGTAGAAAGCCAAGTATCCTAGAATTAAAGAATTTTTTATAAGAAGAATCATTCTTCCATRGAGAAATTGAAAGGATATACAATGGGCAATGCGAAAGAAACCAAAACTAGCCCAAAACAAAAGGAGCCAAAAAAATGACAATAAGAAGGGCTCCAACTATTAATAAGAAACATATATTAACCATCATGGGATGGCCTAGTGGTCAATAAGGGCAATTATAAATAGCAAAGAGCTTAGAGGGAATGGGTTCAAACCATGGTGGCCACCTACCTAGGATTTAATATCCTACTGAGTTACCTTGTCAACCAAATGTAGTAGGGTCAGGCAGTTGACCCGTGATTAGTCAAGGTGTGCGCAAGCTGGTGCGGACACACAGATATCAAAAAAAAGAAAAATTCTTAACATATATTGTGATACATCCCCACCAAAACTCTCCACAAGACCTCTGCTCATCTGGCCCATTCCTCGACATAAGTTTGTATGGGATGCTACAGTTTCCACATTTTACCATTTTTATTATATAATGGAGAGTCTTCAGAGGTATCGGAGAAGTTTTGTGGAATACTGCCCTTTTGGAAATTTAGTAGAATATCTGGCTTGACAGAAATAGGAAGATCCCAAAAGTAAAAACTTTGGTAGATATGGGCGACTAATTAACTCGCACACCCTGCAATTAATGAAACATGCATTCGTTGCCCAAAAACATTTATTACAGACTCCTACATAAGATATAAATATCTTTTTAAGTTTTTTGATATCAAATGTTATAGAATCTAGTTTCTCATAGTCTTAGTTGAGGTGTGCATGTGCACGAGCCTATCTATATAAAATAGAGAAGTTACAGGTTTTAATTATGGAGAGCCTTGACTGTTTACATGTTAATGTATTTGAATCCGAGTCTGATACTGGTTCTAAGACATGTTACGTTTGACATGTTCGTTTGGGCTCATAATCTGTATTATGGTGTTTCTTGTTATAAAAAAATTCTCCCTAAAGTCTCATGTTCTATCATTTACAGGACAAAGATTTGCCCTAAGGGAAGGTGGTAGAACGGTTGGTGCTGGAGTAGTTTCTAAAGTTCTCAGCTGAGGGGGGAGGTACTGCAAGCCTTGATCTTTGAAATCTCTTTCTATACGCATTGCAAAGGTGTGCCAAACAATTTTTTTTGAAGATTCTTGACAAAATGGCGCCATTCGACATTATTTACTGAGTCGGTGTTGATGAGTTACTTGTTTTAGGCACTTGAGAGATTATTAGGATGTTGTGTTAAATTTGCATAAATTAAGGAAGTTCCATTTTACTGTTCTCATAGAGCACAAGCCATCAAGATGATCTTCATCTTCATCTCTTCTTTCCCATTTTAAGTTGATTGCCAATAATTTTCTAGCTGAACATAATTTAGAGTACATAAATGGTGATGGCATAGTCATGCACTTCAGGTTGACTTATTTCGTTGAAGATTTATTTAAATTACATGTTTCTCTTTTTAGTCTTTGAAATTCAGCTGGTAGTTGATTGTTTTAGTGTATGATCACTGCCACGGTTAGCTGCTCGTTCCATTGTCGAGAAGTTTTCTGGCTTTTCGGTCCTGGGAGGAATGCTGTTCTTGAGTCTAACATTGAATTGGAAATTCCCCAAATGTATTTGTGATTGTTTTCTTACTATCACTGATAATTTAGCTGTTTGAATGAGATGGGATTGAGACCTTAGGCCAATGTTTGTCACATTTGCCCCTATATTTTAAGGTCAGTCGATCATTTCTTTTATAGAATCTACAAATGTTACTTTTTCCCTAAAGAAAGTATCGAGATTTTAACCTACAAGATTTTGTTTAGATTTTTTATGATAAAAATTAATTAATATTTCTATAAATTAAATTTATTGTTTTAAGGTTGAGGATAAAATGATACTATTATTAAATAAAATAATATAAAAGTGAAAAGGGAGAAGGAACCATAATACCAACACTAATACTGAAAAAGACTAAATAGAAGGTTAAAATACTGTTTTACTTTTAATTTTGATTAATTATATATGTCTATTTTTGAAATATTCGTTTTGGTTCTTTTACTTTGAAAAAGTGATCATTTTGATCTTTATTTCTAAATGTTTAACATAAGTTTTATGCTCAACAAAAACTCTTTAATATGAAATTAGGGTTACATTTTAATAAATATATCGAGTATAAAATTATGTTGAAATTGTGATAGAAAAAATAAGATTAAAAATAAAAACAAGATATCAAAGTTAAAAGTACAGGAACCAAAATAAATATTTTGAAAGTATAAGGATCAAAATAACAAAAACTCCTAGATATAAATTATCAACGACCCAAATAGAAAGTAATACAATAAATTGATTTTTTTTTTTATCAGAACAATAAATCGAATTTAGTTTCTTGTAAGTGCATTATGTGATTCACCGGATCCGATGATAATTTGAAAAGTAACGAAGTTTATACAAAAATTTGGGGAGGAGAATATAGAAACCAAAAATTTAAATTTGAAACGAAGAAATTTAGATATCTTTATATTAAAAGTGGAAAATTCCCATATTTAGACAAACTTTCTAAAAGCATGAAAATATTATATGGAAAGCAATCTTCATAAATCATTCAACAATGGCAACTCAAAATTAA